ATTTGTAGGAGTGGCTGTGTTATTTGTTTGTTCTATTGTTTGTTTGTCACTCTATCAGTACATGTATTTGTGGGAGTAGCTTGTGTTGTATTTTTTGTTTTGTTTTCTGTTTGTTGGGTTCTTTTTTTAAGTTGATCACTTTGTTGTCAGTGTTTACGAGAGCGGTTTGTGTTGAATGTTAAAATGTCTTTGTGAGTATTTGTGCATCTGTGTGGTCTTGTTTTTCTTTTTCTTTGTTCTTTTCTATTTCTTTTTTTCTGTTATTTTGTCTTCGTAAAACTGAACTAGCCAAGTGGAATGGCGCGGGATTAATGGGTATGGTTTATTTCTCCATAGCTGATCAAAAAGAAAGAAAAAAGATGAAAATCTTACAGTACAGAAATGTTGTCCGACCATCAACGATAATTTGTCATAGTTTGAGATCGAACTGGTTCCTTGAGGCAAGTGTCCGGTCGGGAAGTCAAGTGTCGTCTAATGTCTTCTTGTAAACGTCATAGCTTGAGATCGAAGTCAGTCCTCGCAGCAACATAATTATTGTCCGGTCGTCTAGCCAACTATCGCCCATTCAATGTCTTCTTGTAAACATATACACGTCATAGCTTGGGATCAAACTTGGTCATTGTACTTGTAGCAACTGTGCGGTCGTTCAACCAAAGATTGTACATAACAATGTAGTTCACTCGGCCAAAAAAGTGTCCGCGGAAGTCCGCGCATTGGTTCAGATGTCGCTCCAGTCTTTGTTTTCAAGCTCTTTTTCGCTTCTCCAGAAGAAGAATAGGAATAGCACAGTTTGTTAGTTTCGCTTTTATTGTTTATCACACAAGTAGGGTAACTTTTATCGCTTAGTCCGCACATTTTCGAAGAGAGCATCTCCAAAATTTGAGGCAATTTTTAAAATTGGCTCAAACTCAAAGAGAGGAGTGAACTATCTTGTTATGTACGATCTTTGGTCTAAATATCGTCCAATGTTTTATTGTAGTATGTAGGTACACATCACAGTTTGGGATCGAACTCAGTCCTTGTAGCAATTGTCCGGTCATCCAGCCAAGTGTCGTCCAGTTTCTTCTTGTAGACGTAGAGCGCCTGGAACCGGGGCTTCCCGCCCTTCATGCCCACACAGCAGATGGTGGTGGAGTGGTCAGCCTGGTCCTGGCTGGGGGGACACGCCTCCGGCCACACCCACACGTCCAGCTGGTCACCCTCCTTGACCTCTCGCAGGATGGAGCAGGCGCTCCTGTAGGTGTACACCACGTCCTGTGACGTCACGCCGGGCAGTGCTCCATGGGAGATGGCTTCGTGTAGAGCGTCCACGCTGGTTTAGGGAGGGGGTGGGGGAGGGGAGAAAGGGGAAAGGAAGAAGAGAAATGGGCCGAGGAGATATTAGAAAATGGTGGGGTAGGGGAAGGGGAGAAAGGGAAAAAAGGGTGGGGGGGGGAAGCATGCATGAACATAATAGCCTGTTACTCCATCACAATAAACTACAGCTAATGACATGAGTCGCTCCGAGAAAC